CATCAGTTCATGATATGGACATATAATACAATTTGTGTGATGATGGTCATGCTATTCTAGACCATCAGTTCATGATATGGACATATAATACAACATGTGTGATGATGGTCATGCTATTCTAGACCATCAGTTCATGATATGGACATATTACAATTTGTGTGATGATAGTCATGATATTCTGGACATAATAGTTTATATCATTGCTTCTTAACTATAGCTGAAGGTCTAGAATCAAGTCTGCACTAAGGTTAAAGAAGAGGTACAGAGCCATTCTTTTTTCAGAACTGATAGCAGAAAAGACCTGGAATTGGTCCCCCCCCGACCCCAGGCTTTGGCCTCTCTCTGATGCTTATACAGGGAACAGTGACTATCAAAAATGGAAGTGAACAGGAAGCATTAAGACTGGATAACCCCAAAACTTAATGACGAGTCCCAATATATACAACATAGGGGTCCTTAGAGAAACCTCCAGATGTTTTATCCCATCCAGGAGAGCATCCTTATGTTGATGATCTTTAATACCTGTCTCCACTGCTGACCACCTAGTTACCAGAGGGTAAGCCTCAGATACCAAGCAGCCCTCTCTTGTTTGAAATTAACAGTACTTACATTTTATTTATATTTATTCCATTATTTTCTAAGGAAAACAAAGCTATGAGATTATTTATGAGTCAATACATTTTGCCTTTCATTAACTTATTTAAGAGAGCATGTTTATTTAAAGGTAAATATTAAGGAAATCATTGAGGAAACTATAAAAATCATAATAAGGAGTATCATTAGGAAGAAAGGCTTCAATTAATCCCTACTTAATGAGCATCTCATGCCAAATAAAATGTGACTTTTGACATTGCAACAAAAATTTACAGTGGACAGAGCAGTGGCCTCAAAGTTCATCGTGTGGGCTGTAGTTTTTCCAGGTATTAACAGTTGACTTTGGGAAGTAGCTCTTTCTGTGCCTTGGTTTTCTTGTCTATCAAAAAGAAATATGAAAATAATAACAGTAATTCTGTTTCTATCAGAAAGATATTACCAGTCTCAAGAGAAAAATATCAGAAATTGAACCAAAGAGCCCTCTAAAAGTTAAATGCTATTTTTAAAAGTTCTATGTCAGTGGATGGGATCCTGTGTCACAAACTGGCAGATAGTAGCTTAGATCCCTCTAGAAATTAATCCAAGTCCCATATGTTTTAGAACATGGCATATAAGAACTTCCTGGTTTGTTTTTTCACAAACATTTCAAGAGAAGCAAACAGGGAAAGCTTATCCAGTTAAAATCAATCTGTTTTTCAAATGAACACAGGCTCAGTGAGGAGCATACTCAGATAAAGTAACCCCAGGGGTTCTTTCTGTGAAGTTAGCCTATAACCTGAAATATGAACAGTGAGCTCACAAAAAACAGAGGTCCCATAAATATTTTTTAACTAAATAAACATGTATGTCCAGTAGTTCTCGGAAGCCTCAGAATTAACCAGAAACTTAAAATACGGGTATCAGAGCCACATCCCCAGATGCTCCCATTCACCTGTATTTGCTGTAGAAGCTCCTGGGTGATCCTATGCCGTCTGTGTTGAGAGCAATGGAGGTAACTGATTCTGCAGTATTACCTGGACTGTCATGCCCACCCTCTGCCTCACGTGCCTACATGTGTCTGTCTCTCATAGTGACTGAAAGCATAACAGAGTCTTCTGTAGTTACCTGGCCTTTAAAATGATTAAAAATGGTGGGTTAAAGACATCCATAACATGGAGCTAGGAGGAACACAATACCATGGCCTTTCTGTTTAAAAATATATTTTTGTTTATTCTTTAGGAACTTTGTGCACACACCTGCCTCCACTCCAACTCCTAGACCCCACCCCCACCATGTCTACCTCTCAACTTGATGCCTTCTTTTTTTAATCCACTGAGTCCAGTGAGTGCTTCTAGTATGTACACTGGTGAGGAACACCCACTGGATGATAAGCAACCTACCAGGGGCCTTACCACGGAAGACAACTGACTCTCCTTTCCCCAGTAACCATCAGCTTCCAGTAACTTCTCTGCTTTGTGAGGGGCATCATGAGCCCCTCCCCATCGAGCTGGAATTATGACAAGCTTGATCTTAGCACTGATTTTCTTATCTAGGTACTTCCAAAACACCAAGATAAGGGTGGAGTTAGTTTTCTTCAAACTTGATATTCAGAAAGCCCACCATGGTATAATGATTTCACAAAAGGAAAATTTTATTTAATTCTATAATATGTGTATATAGCAACATGATTCTAAGGCACCTGTTTTAGAATAGAAAATAGGATGTTGGAGATAATAACAATAATCAAAAATTAAACTAATACTGGGCTTCATGCCCAGGAAAACTAGCCAGATGCCAAGAACTGGGCAAGCAGTAAACTAATTGGGGAAATAAGGTGGGCATAGATAGGGCTGCACCAGTTGTGACCACTTTATAACATGATCTGTGGAGGAATTCTGCAGGGACCCCTGTCATTGTGAGTGGGGTTCCTGGCCACTTCATTTCAATGACAAACTTTCAGTGGGAATTGCTTTGCTGAAATATGAGTCTTAAACAAGATCAGGAATATACAGTGATCCTCCATTGTGTCTGTGCCTTTAGAGTGCTGTAAACTACTTGGAAATAAACAGACCAGAAGTAAAAATAGGAGTTCCTAACAACTTTAACTGAAGCTAGAAGGAAAGCCCCAAGTTTCCCAGGATGCTGAAATGTCGTATGATTTACATCAACGAGGGAGGAAATCCTCTTTGTGTATTCAGGGGTGTGTGTGTAATACAGAAGCCCATGTTTTCCTGTTATTGACAAGCATTCTTTAATCTTTTAAGCACATTTTAGGGCCTGTATATATTCCAGGTATGTTGTTTCTTTTAACAAGAAAGCATAAAAGCAAAAGACAACTATCAGAGACGTCTGTTAGGCCTCTTTTTTGTGTCATAGGAGATGCACATGCACAAACACACACACACACACACACATATCCCGCATCCCACACTCCACACCCCACATCCCACACCCCACATCCCACATCCCAAATCATAATAAATGGAAGGACAGAGCCCTGGGCACACTATTACTATTGCCTGAATTTATTTAGGGAAAAAATCATTCCTACTGGTTTCCATAGACCGAAGGCTGTTAAAAGAGGTCATTTGTGATTGGAGACTATAAAAATTTCCTGTAACTTTGGTTATTAAAGAGATGATGAATTTCTAACCGCAAAATTAAATCAAATTAGTGTGAAATATTTAGAATTTCTTATCCAAATATAAATGAATGTGTAATAAACCAAAACATTATTTGAAGTCCAAAGTTTGCTAAATTCCTAAGTTCTGGTTAGGAAGGAAAGGAGATTGTATTGAAACCAAAAAAAAAAAAAAAAAAAACCGTGTTCGTGCTGGGGCCTGAAGACTGTAACTGTAGCAAAAGGCAGAGCTCCCTGTGGCTCCTCTCTTGGGCTCCCCTCTCTTACTTCATTGGCCCCAGCCATTGAAAAACCACACTAAGTTTTAGAATGTATGAACTGTAGAGACATCTTTTTTAATAATTATGTGTGTGTGTGTGTGTGTGTGTGTGTGTGTGTGTGTGTGTGTTGCAGATGCCTACAGAGGCCAAAAGAGACCATCAGATCCCTTGGAGCTAGAGTTACAGGTGATTGTGAGCAACCCAGGTGGATTCTGGGAACCAAACTTGAATCTTCTGGAAGAGCAGAAGTACTCTTAACTGCTGAGCCATCTCTCCAGCCCCCTATAGGCTTCTTACCTCCAACTATGATCAAAATAAATGCTTTCTCTCTTTAATCCCTGGAGAATTCTTTTTGCCACCTTTTGATCATCTGCACAGTTATTGGAAACAAAACCCATTCCAGAGATGCACAGAAGGTCTTCTTCAAGGTAGTGACCGGAGACAAATGCATCACAGCCAGTGGTAGTCGGTGTGTTCCTAGCTCTTTTGAGGCTTTGTTGCTTGTTAATCCTACTGACATCTATATACATGGCACAGTAGCTCTTAAGAAAGCCTTGTTAAGGTCCCTAAGTACTTCCCCTACCATCCTTGAGCCTTTAAATCACAAATGTGGAAAGTTGGGGGTGCCTCTGTATGGGACCTGTGCCTAACATGACCTGAGAGATGATGTTCACCTCCACCGCAGGGATGTAGAACTGCTTGAGATTGGTCCTCAGGCACAGTCCCTTCAGGAATTCATGTTGGAGCTGTGCTCTCAGAATGCCAGATAAGAGTTATAATCAGTTGTAAGCTAGATACAAACTGGGTCATATCATAAAGTCCTATCCTATTTATTTATGAGGGGAGAGGTTTTACTCCTATCTCTGAAGCTTCAGTGTTTACTTCAGACTATAAAACTAGAAATAAGCTTTGTAATGCCCCAAGGAACCGGTAATCTTCACTTCACTTAAAATTCAGCCTTCTAAATGAGGCCTACCCCAGGCCTGCCCTGTGAGCTGCTTTCCCTGCAAGCTGTAACTATGTTCTTGTAGCCTCCAGTAAACGTCTGGGTATTATTCAGTTGTTTGCAGCTTGGTTAGATGAAGACAAAAATGCATCAGCTTTTACAACTATAATCTGCTTTGAGAGGGGAGAGGTTAACTCCTGATTTCCCCCTTTTTTCTTGTTTATTTTTTAAACAGGGACCCTTGTAACTCAGCTGACCTGGAACTTGCTATGTAGACTAAGCTGGCTTCGATCTCACAGACATCTGCCTGCCTCTGCCTCCCAAGTGCTGAGATCAAAGGCATGCTTCATTGTATCTGGCAATTTCTATTTCTTTTGCGTTCACCACTCACCAAAGAATCAGTCTCTCTCTCTCTCTCTCTCTCTCTCTCTCTCTCTCTCTCTCTCTCTCTCTCATATCTTCCATATGCACAGTTGGTAGCATGTAAAAATAATGCTGAATGAGCTCAATCTGCATGCTCAGTAACCTGAGTCTCTTTTTCTTGGCAGTGACGAACAAGAAACCCACACAGGTATCTATCACGAAGGTCAAACAGTTTGAGGGCTCCACATCATTTGTTCGAAGATCCCAGTGGATGCTCGAGCAGCTTCGCCAGGTTAATGGTATTGATCCTAATCGGGTGAGTGAATGTTCCAATGCTGAGCAAAGGAATTCTCTTCACAAGATGCCTTTCTGGCCTTAACGGTTATGGTGGGGGTTTGAGTCATTCTTACAAGGCTATTTCTCCATTATGTGACCAAAACATCCTTGTTTCTGGTCCTGTCCCAGGGGAGATTAGGAATCTTTTATGTTTGAAGGAAAAACATAAGGGAACACATATGGAAAATGTGCTGTCTCCAGTAACGCATGTCAGTATGAGCAAGGCAGAGTTCAAAAAATCATGTCCCTGAATACCAATATGAAAGCATTAAGCTCGTCAAAATTCCCTTTGTTTCCTAATGCCAATAAATTAATAGAGCTTTAAAAATCATGAATTAGGATTCCATTTGATATAATAACAGAAATATTTTATGACCTAATTATCTATTTAAAATACCCATTCCTTTCTGTGTATATACATATGCACCATGCCAGAACATCAATGGAGGAGGAGGAGGGGGAGGAGGAGGAGGACTACAGCTACTATAAATTATTACTATATGCTAAAGTAACAAGGAAGCTCTTACTACCAAAGTGTAAAGAAGGTCACTAACACATATCAGTGCTGAGAACCTGAAGCAATCATTTTTCCTAATAATTGAAAAGATATGGTCACAGTTCTGACCTATGTCAATGTGTAGTTAAGCTGTCTGGATCATTACAATGCTAGCTTCCTAGGGACATTTATAAATACTGTAAGATTTGCATTTGCTTGACAGAGAAATTCCAACTCTCCCTATACCTGGGTTCTAATAAAGATGAGCTTTGTGATCAGTGCCAGAGATTTTGTTTTAGCCTTTAGGTATCTTTCAGCAGGGCAAAGCTGGGAGCAGCAATCTCTGTAGATCACAGTCAGTCGTTATTTCACTGTCTTTTCCAGGATTCTGCAGAGTTCGATTTGTTGTTTGAAAATGCTTTTGACCAGTGGGTAGCCAGCACAGCCTCAGAAAAGTGCACCTTCTTCCAGATCCTGCACCACACCTGCCAGAGGCACCTCACAGACAGGAAGCCAGAGTTTATTAACTGCCAATCCAAGATCATGGGAGGTGAGTGGACATTCTAAGACTTTACCATCCTGTTTCCCAACACGCACTTTTATATAAAGAGTTAGATGTTGAGTAACATAATTGAAAACAAAGAAAAGGCCCGGATATGGTGGTGTATGCCCTTAGTCCCAGCACACTGGAGGCAGAGGCAGGTAGATCTCAGTCAGTTCCAGGTCAGTCGGGGCTACATAAGGAGACCCAGTCTCAAAAACAGAAGCATGAAGATGCTTAGAATTGGGCAGAATTAAGAAGTCTGTTGTATGCTAAATCTGAAGGCAATAACATACTTTCTTGCTTTCCTTAATATTCCCACAGCACATACCCAATTGGCCCATCCTCAGAATGCCCTCCATCACTTTGTGAACCCCAAAGATGCAGCATTGAGATAGAAACCTGTGTTTCTTGTTTTGATTTTTATTTATTTATTTTTATTTTATGTGTGAGTGTTTTGCCTGCATGTATATAAGTACATCCGTGTTGTGCAATGCCCATGGATAACAGAAGAGGACATTGACTCCCCTGGAACTGGAGTTAGGGACAATTTTTAGCCATCATGTGAGTGTTGTGAACCAAACCCAGGTCCTCTGCAACAGCAGCCAGTGCTCTTAACCAGGGAGCCATCTCTCTAGTCCAGAACCCCTTATTTCCAATGTTCAATTGTTCGTATGTGTATTGCATAAAACTAGATTGCTTTTCTAAGCAGATAAGGTCAAACACCAGAACTATTTTTGCCTTTATGTCTTTAGGTATGTCTTTTATTTTCTTTAGACTCTAGCTTTTCCAGATATAACATGTAGATAATACACTAGACTATTTCAGTTCTATCCCTATAATTACTAAGGCAAGGTTCACTGTATCCTTCAAACACTTTTTGACTAAGGAATTACATAATTTATTCAGTTAAATATTGGCTGGTCCTGTATTCCTTAGGGGGAAAAATTTGTATTAAGCGCATTGTATTTTGTTAGCAGCACATACTCCCTTAATGAATGCAGTCTGTCTTACTCAAACAGCTGTGTATCTTTCATAACTAACAGTTGTACCAACACACCCTAATGAATTAGTACTCTGATTAATCAGTCTTCATTTCTTCCTGTTAGGTAATTCTGAAACTTAAACATGGTGATTCTCATTCAACCTCTTTAACTTTTGTATACCTGCCCTATTTTCAACAGATGAAATCTCTTCCTAATTTCACAAAAACTTTTGGTATCTCACCTTATCTTCAGGCCACAAGTTGTAGATGCAATTGTTAACTGAGCTGTGAAATATGACAGTTTTGTGATTTTTAGAGGACTAATACTAGTGTTGGCGTGCTGCCCTCCACCACTCTCTTTACACAAGTTATCTTACTTAGTTTTGAAAGCAGCCCAAAGAAATGTAACTTGTTATCTCCTCAGAGAAGGAAACAGAATCAGAATTATTAGCTGGCTAGGTAAGAGTCATATTGCTAGTCAGGAATAAAGATAACCTTCCAACACAGGCTCATACAGCTCTAAGACCATTTTCCTTAGGGAACATGATTTGTTTTGGTAGGAATGGCATCCCCTGGAGTTGTTCAGGAATTGTTGAAAATATTTCAGCTAAAACATACCTGGGTTTTCTAAAAGAGGGGTAGATAATAGGGAAGGGCTAGAGATTCTGGATAGTTTAAGTGTTTTCCTTGCTGTGTCCCAGGTGTATAATAAAGATAGTAAGCCACTACTTCATGAGCCACCACCTCTAACTGAGGAGCTATGGACAGCTGCTAGCTTCTTGGGGAAGCAGAGTCAGTGTTCTTAAGGACGTAGCTTGTGGTAAGTCAGCCATGCTCTAGTAGATGGCCCCACACTCAGAAGCATATGAATAGCACAAATTGGAGTCCGTGCTTACTAATTTTTTTAAGGGACATGATGTTGAGCGGGTGGGGAAGTAGGGATGAAATCTGGGAGGAATTAAGAAAAGTTGAAGTGAATGATCATAATGCATTGTGTGAATTCCTCAAAGAAAATAAAACTATTTGCTAAAACTTTTCCTAGCATCTATATTTTGGTTTTAGTACAATTCTTTTTTTAAAAAAGTATTGAATATTTGTGAATTTCATGCAATGTCTTTTGATCCTATTTAGAACCCCTCCCCTATCTACAACCCTCTTAACAGCTCCCCCACCAGATTTCATGTGCTCTATCATATTATTAAGGCCTAACAAGCCAAATTTGTATCTCCAAATGCCCTTCAGTGTGTCCATCCACTAGATTCTGGTTAACCCAGAATCCCTCTCCCAGCATTATAGATTACCCATAGTTCTTCAGCTAAGACTGGGGCTACTTCCCTACTTCTGTGCTTGGATTTTTGTCCAGCTTGGGCTCGTGTGAGTCTTGTGCTGTCATCACTGCTGTGAGTTCATATGAGTAATTTCTAAGCTGTCTTGGAGACTCTCTTTGTGGTCATTCAACACCTCTGGATCTTACAGTCTTTCCACCCCCTCTTCCACAATGGCCCCTGAGTCTTGGGTGGCAGAGGTTTGATATAGGTATCCTATTCATAGATAAGCACTCTACGGCCTTTTATTCTCTGCACTTTGGCCATTTGTGACTTTCTGGTTAATTACTATCTGCTGTATTAGGAAGCTTCTCTGGTGAGAGCTGAGAGATGCATTAATATTCTTTCTGACTCCTGTTCCGCTGTGTTCCTTGAGTCTTGGTAGAGGTTGCATTGTAGACGTGTCACTTGGGCTGGGCACATCACAGCCACTTATTTTCTGTGTCTGACCAGTTGTGGAACTTTATAATCAATCATCTCCATCTGTTACAAAAAGGAGCTCCTGTCATGACTGGTGAGAGATGCACTTGTCTGTAAATACAAGGAGAGGTATTTAGAATACAGTAAGAACTTATGGTTGTCTATGGATGTGATAAAAGTAGCTTTATCTCTAGGGTCTATGCCACCTGCCACCATGAATGACAGTACCACACATGAGTTCCCCCTCCCATTGAGTGAGCCTTAAGTTCAATAAGGCAGCTATTGATTACCCCCAAGATAAAGGTGACACTATCTCACCAGTAGAGATTATTTGCTGCCCAGTTGTTGTGATTCTTAAACTTATTTTTTTTTCAATTTGAATTAAAAACAAAGCTATTTCTTGTCCTATGAGCCATAAATTCATTAAGGACCTTTGCAATCATAAATTCATTAAGGACCTTTGCAATCATAAATTCATTAAGGACCTTTGCAATCATAAATTCATTAAGGACCTTTGTTGTTGCTTTCTTGTTTGTTTTTGGTCAGAACTTCAGTAGATTACAGAGCTACAAGCACAGGGAAGTTGTTGGAATCCTGGCCATGCACACAGGCCTCCCAGGAACTCTGCAGCTGCTCCAACCCTGTCCTTAGCACCACTGAGGCCCAGTAGCTTTGAATGACTTTACTGGGGTCAAAGGAAATCTGTACAGCCCTGAACAACACTTTCCTCAATACCAGTTCAACATAAGTTTACCATTTAAATATCAACAACCCTGTACAGTCCTACCCTTTCATCTACCAACTGTGCACATCAGCGCGTATGATTAGATTTTTCTTGTTCTCTTGGGGGAAGGTCAGTTAAATTGAAGTGAAATGGATTCTTTACATGTTTGAAATTTTCTGTTCCAAAATGATGTATCCTTAAGTCAAAAAGAAAGAATGAAAAGCATAGGGCTCCTGATGCTAGTTCATGAAGACATGAGTAAGGGCTCCCCAGTTCACTGAAGGCTCTCAAAACTGAAAGGGAACAGGACACTCCAAGAGTTGTAAAGAGGGACATGCTGGTGTCTCCTCAGGACAGAGGCTCCTCTGTCAGAGCCTCTATGGCCATCTCCTCTTCTCTGATATCTGGAGAATCAGCGAGCTAGGACAGTCACCAGTATCATTCACAATAACCTCTGTACACCACCATTTTATTCATTAAGCATTGGTCTCCTTTCTAAATTAAAGCCATTCACTTAGTTTTCTGGGTCCTTTAACTATCTTACAACCTACACAGATCGAAGACAAGTGTGGAGCCACTGAAGTGTCAAGTAGACATGGGTTGGATTTACTTCTGACCTGGTACCTTCTATTTTCTCTGTATTATAAACAGAGATGGTGATATGTTACTATGCCCCTGATAACATATGTATGCTTGAATCTCAGGCTCCTGAGAAGAGGCTTACTTTCTGCTAATTCATTATAAAGAAGCACAAGAGCCAGATGTAATGGTGCATGCCTTTAATCCCAGCACTCAGGAGGCAGAGGCAGGCATGTCTCTGTGAGATCAAGGCCAGCCTGGTCTACATAGTGATTTCCAGGCCAGCTGGGACTACCAGGAGGCCCTGTCTCAGAAAAACAACAGCAACCAGTAAACAAACAACAAAAAAGGAAGCATAATCTGACCCGAGTATCCATTTAGATAATGGGTATTTCATCTAATTCACATACCTGGGGAGGCTCTGTTGTTTTACCTTCATTACACTTGGTGAATGTGAACAACTTCCAATGACTCCCACCTTGCTCTTGTGTAACTTGACCTTTTATAGTGATTATTGCTAACCTATGATTTCTATGCCTGATACAGGTTGGTTATCCCTTATCTGAACTACTTCTAACCCAAAGTTGTGAGATTTCGTTTCTGGGTTTGGGGATATTTGCACATACATAATAAGATGTTTTTTGGGAGGGGACCCAAGTCTAAACACTAAATTCACTTGTTTCATACACACCTTATACACTGCACCTAAAGGTTCTTGTCTATAATATTTTAATAACATTGTACATGAAACAAAGTTCATCACTGATGAAATCACTGGGAGTCTTTTCCCCTTGCAGCACTATGCGTGTGCTTGCGGCTCACAAGGATGGAATATTTTGTATGTAATACAATGTCTGTGCTCAGAACATTTTAGATCGAGGGCAATTTGGGATTGCAGGTTTTCAGATGAAGGACAAACTATGAACTACAGGAATTTCCTGTTATTGACAACTTCTGTGTTGGAACCACAAAGTGT